ACAGCGAGTGTGTGCAGCAGGCTGCCATGCAGGAAGGCCAAGTTGCCTGCAATTTCCAGAAAGGAAGGGCTTGCCTGATCACCCAGGCTACCCTCTGCTCTCCAAGGTGAGTAACTCTTGCAGGGAAGTTGGCAAAGGTGGCAGTTGGCCATCTTTGGACACACTTTCCTTTTCTTCCCAGTAGAGCAGAGGGAGCAGCAGTGGGAAGGGGGTTTGGGAGGGAAACTGTCCCACTCCAGATGCGAAGGGATGACTGCCAGCAGGAGGGAGGATTACTGATACCTTTCCTCATCATCAGGACTGTCCCAGTGCCCCATGGCAGCTTCGAGAGCAGAGAAACTCAGGTTTCCACAGCTCCCCTTTGCATGCTGCGCACTGCTTTCTAGGCTCGCAGGTTTTCTGTGTGGCCTTAGCAAGGAAGTTCTGGTTTTTCCTGCTTACTCTTCTGTCACAGCTGCCATTTGGTGCACAGCAAAGGGAGCTCTGCAGATGTGATGTGGCTCCTGGTTAATAATGCCTCCCATTTTATTCACGGGAGGACTCTCCCAAAGCATTCTGCCATATCAAATTCCAGATGCAGAGCAACTGGGGCTACTCTGAACATACCTGCATCTATCGAGGGGAGGTTCGTGGGAAAACAGCAAGGCCAAAAGAGCTTCTTCAGCCAGAATAATTAAACAAAAAAAGATGTGGTAACTCAGTTTCATGTCTTTTGGCCCACGTTGAGGGTGTTACCTGAAGCAGTGTGTTGGGTTTGGGAGGAGCTGCAGGAATTTCTGTGAACAGAGCCCAGCAGCTGCCCCATGGTAGAGAAGAGACACTTCCAGGCAGCTCCGAAAGAGATCTGCCACTGGTCAGAGCTGAGCCATGAGCAATGCTGGAGGCACTTCTGTGAGAGCAGGCGGAAGCAAGTAAAAACCACTGCCTTGGAAATGAGGATGATTGGGGATTTTCTTATGGAGACAGAGTGCCCAAGTTAACATGTGGCCACCCAGGACTCAGGGTGAGGGGTGTGCCTGAGTTTTCTGCCTGAGCCTGAACGCAGAAAGTACACTGGTGGGGGTGCGCCCACATGGAAGCACTGCTCAGTCCAGAGACAGACATCTGGGAGGAGGTGGGCAGGCGGAGGAGCATCAAGGAGTCAGAGAAAGAGATGGAACCACATTCTCAAGTCCCTTAGATACCCACAGCACAAGGAATAAAGGATCCCCTGACACCTGGCCACAAGGCAGGAGGAGACTAGGAGACAGAGACAGTGATGCAAATAGGCTTCTGTAAACCCCCTTCCCAACTGCTTCCCCTTTCTGGGTGCTCTTACACAACTGGGATGAGACTCTGGAACTTGACAGACAGGACATACAGGTGTTGAAGTTCCATCCAGGTTCCATCCATGAAGGTCCATCCAGGTTGGAGGAGTCACCTAGGGCTGGCCAGCCTGTTCCTCTCTGTCACCAGAGAGCAGAGATCAGCACTGTCCTTCCGCCCCACTTCCTCACAAAGCCATAGGCCACAAAGAGGTCTCCCCTCAGTCTCCTCTAGACCATTCACCATTTTTGCAGCCCTTGTTTGGACACTCTTTAATAATTTTATGTCCTTGTTGTACTGTGGTGTCCAAAACTGTACACAGTACTCATAGTGAGGCGGCACCATTGCAGTGCAGAGCAGGACAATCCCTTCCCTCACCGACTGGCACTGCCATTCTTGATGCACCCTGGGGTAGGGTTAGCCTTCCTGGCCACCTGGGCACACTGCTGGCTTGTATTTAATCTGATTTCAACCAAGACTCCCACATTCTTTTCGGCAGGGCTGCTCTACAGTGTCCTATCCCAGTCTGTATGTACAGCCAGGGTTGACTCCTTCCCAGGTGCAGAATCCAGCACTTGCTTTTGTGATGCTTTTGCTGTGCTCCATGTGTTTGGTGACTGCCCAGCTTTCTAATTTGTCTGGATCTCTTTGCAAGGCCTCTCCACTCTCTATGGAATCAACAACTTTTAACTCGGTATCATCAGTGATCTTGCTCAAAACACCTTCTAGTCCTACATCCAAAGCATTTATGAAAACGTTAAAGAGAATCTCATCTGGCCATGGATTTTCTGGATACAAGTGGAATCTCCTTAGCCCTCTTCCAGCCAACAGCAGGTGGGTGGGAATTTCCAGTACTGCACACAAACCAATGATGACCAGCAGCATACAAGAGCTTTCCTTCTCGTTCTGTTGCAACTGGAGCCTGGTGGAGCAGAGAGCAGATGTGATCTTGCTCTATTTTTCTCCTGCTTAGCCCTCTTCTGCTGGTTCCTGAGCATTACCTCATTTGTATCTTTCTTTCTTCATCTCTTGGTTTGATCAGCACTGTTTCTTGCTCTGATGAATTGTTTCGTTGATCTCCTTTTCCCATAGAGGAGTAGAAGTGTTGGATATCCGTGTTGGTATCTGCCCATCCATTTGGGAAGGATGGGTGGGGGTAGAAGATTGAAAGGAAAAGGAAAATATGATCTTAAATATTACAACAGGGTAAAAGCTGAACTCTGCCTCATTACCATTCGCAGTTTAAAGGGACACAGGTGTCCTGAATGCTTCAGGGGGACCATCAGGGTCTATTCTGGGGCCGTTTGGGGCCGTTTTAGTGAAATAAACGCGATTTTGCGCAAAACAAATCGCAAAACTAGGCGGCGGTGCCCCGCAGCAAAACGGTGCCCTCAACCAAGATGGCGGCACCCTACAGCAGGGCAGTGCCCACAAACAAGATGGCGGCAGCGCAGGAATGGCCATGTCTTCCGCACACAGGATTCCCCCGGCTGCTCCACGCGCAGGCGCACTGCGGGCAGCTCTGTGGGGCGCGGCCTTGCGTGACCCGGCAGCGGATGGAGCAGGGAAGCGGAAGTGGTGTGGGGGAGGGATGGAGAGAAGGGCCTGTGTGTTGGAGGGGGTGAGTGGTGTGTCTCTGTGGTTTCATTTCGTGGTCATTTTGGGGTTGTTTGGGCCTTTCGGGGGCTGCTTTGGTTTTGGGCTGCATTGGAGTCATTTTAGGGCTCTTTTGGAGTTATGTTGTAGGCAAAACCGTCGTGCAGTGGGTGAGCAGTCGGCGGGTTGAGCATAGAGGAGCAGTCAGTGGGGTTCCGTCCAGCAGGGGGTCTCTGCCGGGCTCCCTTCTAGGGCCGGGTCTTTTCAGTGTCTTTATAAATGGCGTGGTTGGACAGGAAGGTGTTCTGAGCGAGTTTGGTGACAGTGTTTAATATGGAGGGGAGAAGCAGAGGAGGCTGAATGGCAGCCTCATAACTTTTGTGTATGTGTAGGATCCCAAATGAATGCAAACCCCCCCCAAACAAAAGGCACCAATAAAGGCCCCAAATGGGATCAAAATGGTCCCAACAGACTCAAAACTATCCCAGAATGACCCCCCAGCAGCCCCAAGTTAACCTCAAAGTGGTCCCAGATAGCACCAAATTGCCCACAAACAGCCCCAAGTAACACCAAACAACCCTCAAAAGGGATCTCAGATGGCCCTAAAATTATCTCAAAAACCGGCTTGAAATCACCTCAAATGAGCACAAAATGTTTAAAATCAGCCCTAATATGGCCCAGATGGATCCAAAATGACCTCAAAAGCACCCTTCAAGGTAAAACCAAAATGATCCCCTGCCAGAAAAGCTCCAAAATGGTCCCCAAATTCCACCTCCCCCTCCCACCCCAGCAGGGCAAAGCAGAACTCTTCCCCCCCCCCCAAGTGCCACCTCCAGGATCCAAAAGTGGGTGTCAAAACCCATGGCCCCAGGTCCATGGGATGCGACTGCTCCAAAGCTATTCCAGGGGGCTTGAGGGAGGACAAAATAACCCCAAAATACTAGTAGGATCCCCCTTCCCCCTCTAAAAAAAGAGCAACTAGGAGCTGGGGGCACCCCAAAAGTGGTGTGTCCATATGCTCCTCCAGTAACACAGACTTCTGGGGCTGCTCCCCCCTACATAAAGACTGCCCCTCCCCAGAAAAGGACCCTATGGGAAGTGGGAAGGTCACATAGAAGCCTATGGGAGTTCCCTAGATGTCCCCCACCCCAGAAGGGGTTTCAGTGACTCCATAGGATTCCCTATGTGCCCCCCTAAAAGTAGACCCCAGTGCCCTGCATGGCAAAAAGAACCCCATCAGAGTGGAAGTCCCACAGTGGGCTAAGCTGATCCCCCAAGTGCCTCCCAGACCAAAAGGGACACCATGGGATGGGGATTTTACAAAGGTCTGGGGGGGTTCCCCAGATGCCCCCCAAACCAAATAGAAATCCATGGGAGTAGAGGATGCCAAAGGTGTCTATGAGCATTCTCCAAGTGCACCCCACCCCAAAAGGATCCCTTGAGGGGGGAGGTCCACAGGGCTCCATGGAGATTCCCTGGGCGCCCCCCAGCCCAAAAGGAGGTCATGTTCCCCCACCCCTCTCCCATGGGAGTTGACGGCTCCCTCTGGGGCCTATGGGGGCTCTCCAGATGCCCCCCTCCACCATGACGACCCCCTACAAAGCCCCCCCATTGTTCTATATTGACCTTCTCCTTTTTTTTTTTTGGGGGGGGGGAGGTAGGGGTGGGGTGCATCCCACTGCTCCCACTCTTGAGAAGGAAGAGCAGCTCAGCAGCATGTCCTCGGGGTAGGGGGTGTCTGGGAGGGGTGAGGGCAGCAGCCTCAGGAGATTTCTCACCTAGCAGCAGCGCCGTGAAGATATGATGCCCCAGATCTATGTGGTCACCTGGTGGGGGCTGAGGAGGTGACATTCTGGGGGAGGATTTGGGACATTTGTTTGGTTAGCATTTTTTTTTTGTGTGTGTGTGTGTGTGCTTTTGGAAGTTATTTTGGGGGTCTTAGGGGGCCTTTTGGATGAGTTTGGGGTTATTTTGGGAGTTTGGGCATTATTTGGAGGAATCTGAGGGGGGCTTTAGAGGTCATTTTGGGGTATTTGGGGATATTTGGGGATTATTATGGGGGAATTGGGGCAATTTGGGGGAGTTTGGGGGCACTTAAAGTTTACATTAGAAAGGGCTGGGGTGATTTGAGTTTGTTGCAGTAATTCGGGGAGATTTGGGGCGTTAGGGGTATTCTGGCATATTTACGATGCAATTTCGGGGTTATTTTAGGGTTTTTTATGACATTTGTCGGTGATTTTAGGGGTTTGAGGCCATTTTCATGTTATTTTGTTGGGATTTGGGGCATTTGGAAGTTATTTAGGAGGACATGGGCATTTTGGAATAGACTTGGAGGGGGCTGAGGCATTTGGGAATTATTTGGGGGCTTTTGGATTATTTGGGGGCATTTTTTGAGTTATTTGGGGAGGAATTATGGACAATTTGGGGGGGTATCTGGAGGTGTTTTGTGGGGTGGGAGGGCTGTACCTACAGGATGAGCTCCAGCACATTGTGGGGCCGAGGGGGGGGGGGGTGCAGACCAACACCATCCACCTGAGGACCACTGCCATCAGCCCTGCCACCAACTGTGCCACACACTGCTCAGGGGAGATGGGGGGGTTGGCACAGGGGGCTCCCCCCTCACAGCCCTGTGTGTGTCCCCAAGATTTCTCCATATCCTCTATGTCTCCCTGTGACCCCATGCCCCCCCTGACAGCGTCTCCATGTACCCACCCTTACCTCCAGGGCCCCTTTATGTCCACCAGACCACCCTCACGTGCCCAGAGCCTCCCTCCCGCTCCTGTCCCCCACTGTTCCCATACTCCCCCAGGAGACCCCCCACACGCATCTCTGGGACTGCTCCGGGTCTCCCAATATCCCATTTGCCTTCACTTCAGGCCTGCCCAGGTCACCTGATGACTCCTCCCCTTCCCCTATCTGGACCACTCATTCCCCACGGAACCCCCTAGACCTTCATGGCTCCTCTATTTTACTTTGGGGCCCTCCATGCCCCCTCCCCCCATAGCCTCTGCACCCATCCCTTTGGCTCCCTACTAGCCCTTCCTCACCTCTGGCCCCCTTGACCTGTATGACCCTCCCATGCCCTGCACCCCTTGCCCCGTCTCCCCTCCTTGCCTCTGCCCTTTGCTGTCCTGTCCTGCAGGAGAGGAGGGTGGGATGGTGTGCTGCATGCAGTGCCTGCAGGAGCTGTTGGGCCACCATGGAAGTGGCTGGTTCCAATGTAAAGCACAGTGTTGTCTTTGAGTCTCTACATCCAATAAAGAAGACGGAACCGCCCATGGGGCAAGAGGTGCACTCTGTACCCACCCAACACGGTGTCTGGGGCCAAACCTGAAGGTTCGGTTCGTTCCAAACCCCTTCTACACATACCCAATGGTTTGCTCCGTTCTGATCCCCCCACACCCAATGGTTCCCTCCATTCTGCCTCCCACGTACACCCAGTGACTCACTCCATTCTGACCCCTCCCACCCAATGTTTTGTTCCATTCTGACCCCTCCCGCCCAATGTTTTGTTCCATTCTGACCCCCCTGCACCCATTGGTTCACTTCATTCTGATCCCTTCCCCCCTCCCACCCCCCCCTTCCTCACACACACACAGTGGTTTGCTCCATTCTGGCTCCCTCCACTCTCAAGCCATTCTATGACTTCTATGAAATTGGGGACTATGGGGGGGCGGAGGGGGACGACTGGGGCTTAAGTGGACAGTTTAGAGTCGGAGGGGGGAAACTCAGGGGTCAGCTGAAGGTTTAGGGGCGATCCTGGGGGTCTCCGGGGTCTCCTACTGCCCCGCCGCCGCGGAGCTGGCCATGCGCGAGGCGCTGTCCTGGTGCTGAAACGCGCGGCCGCCGCCGCGGCGCTGTTGGGCTCCTGTTGATGTTCGCCGATTAATGTCAACGACCCGGGTTTGTTGTTATTGTTCTTTTGTTTGGTTTTGTTTGGTTTTGTTGTTTGTTTGCTTGTTTGTTTGTTTCTTCATGGAGGAATTCCGTTCCACATCTCTGCTTCTGATGTCTTCTCAAAGTGTTCATTAGAGAGTGGTGGTGAAATTTTGCTGTTCTTACATTTCATCCTTGAAAACAGTTGTTCACAGATGTGCATACTGCCAAAAAGCAACGGCAGGAGAACGGCATGACTGTGAAGCAGGGAATCTTGTTCTCTGGCAAGACAGGTGTTTTGCAATTCTGATGAAGAGGCACAATCCCTGTTCTGAGTTGAAAATCTGATTGCAATTCAATATGTTCCATTTGAAGATTGGCAGGTGATATATTTATGGTGACTGGAAATTACCCATTCCACTGCATGTCCTGTGCATCTATTGCAACTTCACACCTGGGAGGGATCAGGACCACATGTTGTCCTGCTTCACACTCACACAGTGATTAAAGTGAAAGGAGTCTACTTAGCTGGAATCAATAACTCTGTTCTCTGCACTTGCACACTGCATTCTTCCTTGCAGTTCCATTCCAGGGAACAGAGAACCTTAGTGTGGCGGTTTAACAGCAGCAGGGAGCTCAGCACCCTGCTCACCCCTGGCCCCTTCAAAACAGAATGGGGGGAAAATATGACGAAAAGCTAACAGCCTGCAAAGTAAGTTAAGGACAGGGGAGCAAATGCATTGGCATGCACTGAGCACTGGCAAAAGAGGTGCAGCAAAGGGACGGTTAACTTACAGCTTTTTGACAGCAGGTGGGAAGCCTGGGCTAGCTCTGGAGCTGGGTCTTACTTCAAACATGGTGCTTTTTGAGGAGGGAGTCAGTAGGACACAGCAAGGAGCAGCAGCTCCTGAAGGCTTGAGAAGCCAAAAACAATAACTCAGGCATAGGCCAGCAGCCATGGATCCATCCCATGGTCCCTGCACACGGGGAGCACAATGGGCTCCATTTCTCAGGAGGGGCAATAGGAGTTGAGAAAGAGCCCAAGCAGCATGCATGTCTGCAAAGTCCAGTCCAGACTCCTTTCTGCAAGGAGCACACGCTGAAAAGTCCTCCAGATGTGAATACAGTCTGCATGTGAAAATGAAGAAGAAATCGATGGTGGGGGAGTTGGGAAATGTAAATGCCAAAGCATTGTTGATGAAGATGAGTTCAGCTGGCATGCATGCAGCAAGAGCCTTCAGGCCTGTACTGTTGGTTGGGATGGGCAGAGGGCTTGCTGTCGCACTTCATTTTTAGGCACATCTCAGTTGGCCCTCAGCAGTGGAGCCAGGAATCTGCCCCAAGTTTGAGACACATTTTGTGTCTCTTGATCTGTTTTGGTGAGAGTGGTTTGAGTTGGGTTATTTATATAGAAACATTTAGATTTGGTGGGAAATTTTGGTGGTAGGTGAACAGTGGGTCTGGATAATCTTGGAGCTCTTTTCAACCTTGGTGATTCTGTGATTTGTCTTTGACATGTGTCAACATTTCATGTACAATGCAGTGATAAGCAATAGATAAAACAATGTTAGAGTTAGTAGAATCAAAACTAGGTGAAGCGTGCAATTAAAAGCTCTTGTTGCCATTGATGACATCCTTCTTCACTCTTCCTGGACATGGTGTATCTCTTCTGTCATGAGGAATGGTGATTACAGGTTTTTCTCCATTATTTCAGATGCATTCTAGCAGTTGGCACAGGTCATCGTAGCAGTAGCTAGTTTACTAATATAAGATTCGTTCTGATGGGACTGGAAAGGGGTTGGCATCAAATACTCAATATATAATTAGACTGAAGCAATTGATATGATGTAACTGGAGCTGAATCGTTCAAGTTGTATCCCATAATTTTAGTAAAACTGTTACCAAAAATCATAACCAAGAAAACTCCAAACTAAATGAGGGTTTAGAAAGCCAACATCAGTTTATTGCAGTGCTGGGTGCATGGAGGATTCCTCCTCCTAGCATGCAGGCCAAGGGATGAAAGCAAGCTCATTATATACACTAAAAAATGAATATTCTCACAATTCTGGAGAAGTGCTTGCCTATTTCCAGGAAGTCTAATGCATGTTCTAAGACATTGCAAAACTGCCTCCAGCAAGGCGCTGAACTGGGGGAAGGGTCTCAGGTGAGCTCTTTCTTTGCCTGTGTATAGAGCTGATGTTGAGAAACATCCTTTTTTTTTTCTTTTCTTTTCTTTTTCTTCCCCGGGAATATTTATCTTTGGAGCCTCTTTGGTGCCCAGGCTTCCTTATCTTGTCTGCCCTTGCCCACCTCTCCTGGGCTGCCAGGCCTCTGGCTCCAGTCAGAGCTGTCTGCGTGGAGGACAGAGCAGTGCTTCCCCTGTGCTTTCTGCCAGGAGGAGCAGCTCTGCTGCCATAGGCAGCTCTCCACGCGCTGGGGTTACCTGACGGCCTTGTCCCAGGGACGCTGCCTCAACTTGGAAGCAGCTGAAGAACAAAGCTTTTACCGCCTCTTCTGGTCAACGGGACCTTCAGACTGAGCTTCCTTCTTTGCAGCGCTGCCCTGCGCCTTCTTGGCCCTGGATAAAGCCTCACGGGGCACAGAGAAGCAACAACCTCTTCAATAAAAGCACAAAATTAAACCAACCCAGCACAAACGCGCTGTTTGGAAGTGAGAGTATTTTGGAGCTGCTTTTATTTCCCAATATCCTTGTCTGAGCAAAGAGCCTCTGTAGAGGCAGAGCAGTCTCAGTGCCAAGGCAGGAAACAGCTGGAAGGCAGAGAGCACTGCCCGGCCAGCGTGATCCTGGGGGCATCGCAGGGTGCCAGGGAAGGGGATGGGGGTGCTTTGCTCCAGGGCTCCCCTTGTCACTTAGCCCAGGAGGCATCAGCTCCGGATGGCATCAGGCAGCTGCTCTGGATTTTGCCGTGAGATGGAAGCGCTTTCCCTGCCCATGGATGAGGATTAAACAGTGAAAACCCACACGGACCCCATTGCAGTCGGGTTGCTGCTCAATTCCCACCCCTTTCTGCCCTGCTCTCCCCATGGGGAAGCACAACCATTCCTCCAGTGCCAGGAGAGACCACAGCACAGACGTCACGAGCTGGCAGACACACAAGGATGTCACAATTACACATGGGCACATTTTATTCTCTTGATGCACCATTTCTGCTCAACAGCCAAAGCTTTATGGATTCAAAACCAGTAGCCTTCTCCCCCTCCCACTCACCCACCCACATTTTTTTGCCTGCACATCCCCTTTACCACCTCTCACCCACTCTTAGATTTCTAATTTGAGTATTATATCTGCTTGGAGTCTGTTTTCTCAGAAGAAGCCAAGAGACAACTCATTTTTTTTTTTTTTTTTTTTCCTCCCAAGAACCATATAAATTACATGCAAAACATTGTACATAGAGATTAATATCAAAATGCAATACAGATCAGGTGCACTTTAAGCTGGACTCTAGGATATGGCAAACACACCAGGGTACATAGTTTTGAAACCACTTTTTTTTTTTTTTTAATGTCATGCATACCACATAATATTCAGTCTTTTGTTTTATATTTTTCTGTTTTTATACAAAAATACCAGTGCTTATTATACTAGTTATGGAAAAGAAAAAAAAACTCAGCTCTGAGTGCCCTCTTCAAATGAAAATTTTGTCGTGAGAGCGCTGGATAAATATATATATACACACACAAATGTTGTTTTAATACTGTATATATATATATATATATAAATATATATATACACACACATACATATATATAAATATATATATATAATTAAGGGTAGGAAATAAACTAAAGGCAGTTCTAGCCATGGGCTTCTTCGAACAAAAACCGGTTTTCTTTTCACTGAGCAGGACGATGAGGCAGGGAACAGCCCTGGCAAAGAGGCGGCGGGTAGGAAGAGCTGCGTGCCACAAACGGCCCCTGCGCTCCGGGGTGACGATGGCACGGCGGCCGGACACCGCGGCGAGGAGCAGCTGCTGGTGCTAGGAGCTTCCTTCCCCGCAGGACGCGCGGTGGAGCTCCGTCCCCGCAGCCCCTGGCACGGAGGCGCGCTCCCTGGGGCTGGGAGGGGGCTTTCCCCTCGGCCCCGAGTCCTGGCGCAGCAAGCAGCAGTCCTAGAGGGGTTGAGCACTGCAGGACTCGGCCATGGAAAGCCAGAGGCTGCCCATGCTAAAATTCAGTTTATTTTTTTTTTTTTCCCTTCTTGAGACTGTTTCAAAATTCTCCTCGATGCTTATTGCACAAAACCTTTGAAAATTAAGTACAGCCCCTGTGTAAATCAAAGAAAACCTCATCACAGAATGCAAATGCCTACGAATGGCTGTTCGGCACTGCACACAGGACGTGATGTAATGTCTTTGGTACCAATCTGCCCATTTACTTCATGGAAAACACCACCACCAGAGACCCTGTCATTAAGAACTGGATGCAAAATTATGTTCAGAGTGTTTTAATAACGAAGCATTCCAAGGCAAGTTAACACAGATCACAGGGTATGATTTCAGTTCCTGTCTGGCAATGGCACTCATCGCAGTTCAAACAAAGCGAAAAACAAAATCTCCCCCTCTTCCAAGGCATGTCGCAGAGTCCCCACAGTCCATGCTGCTGCCCATGCCTCTCCAGCAGAGCACCCATCTCCCCAAATGTTTGTTTGTTTTTATAATGTCCTCAATAACTTAACCCAATAATCGTCTGCTGCCAGTATATCATTGAAACCAAATAAGAAAAAATACTTTACATGAAAGATGTATGCACAATAAATGGCTTACCTTAAGCAACCAGCCATACCAACATGATTTTTATATATATATATATATATACACACACACGCACATATACATATATATATATATATATATATGTATACATATATATATATATATATATATATGTAAAACTTGTCCTCCAACTAACATCTAGTATAAAGATGGCTGCTCAGAGAATAGGAGGCTGACTGGCATCAATGGCAACACGCCGGCACTTGGAATTGCCATCGCAGTCAGCAGCCACTGCAGATGCAGGACCCTAAGATTTTTATTATTATTTATTTATTTTACTTTAAACAAAATACATATGGCTGACGTAAAAATATCAGTTTCTGATCTAAAGAAAACTAGACTTCTTTTTTTGCATAATATTTATCTATAATGATTTCTCCCCCCCTCCTAATATGGAAACTAGGACAACAATAAAGTATCAACTAACAAACAACCAGACCCCTATGGCAACCTGCTGGTCACAGGCCTCTGGGAGGGAATTAAGCACCTCCAGAGTTGGCTTTGTGTTGTTTTTCATTGGTTTAAGTCTTTTTTTTTTTTTTTTTTTGGTTTTCCTGTTTGTTTTTAAATAGGTCTGAGGTAATTAAAAAGAAAGGAAAAAGAAAAAAAAAAAAGCAGCACCCTCCCTCCCCCAACACATATAATAAATATTTATGCAAGCCTCTAAGATTTTTTTTTTTTTTTTTTTTGCAAGCACATAAAATAGAAAAAAAAAAAAAGTGATCTTTCGAGCAATGTCACCTTCAGTACGGAACCAAACCCCACGAGCATCCCTTCCCCACACCGCCACACAGCGGCACGCTGCGCCTTCCTGCCCACAGCATTTGTTCGTCTCACATGCAGAGGAAGGGGAGGACAGCAACAGGTTTGTCTGCGCGGGCAGGGCTGGTGTCTCAACACTGAATTTGCAACTGAGATGGGCAGTGGTGGCAACTTCTCCTCGCTGCTGGCAGTGAACTGAGCCCAGCCTTCACGCCCCCCTTGGCGGCACTGGGCAGGGCAGCAGGGCCTGACTTCGGCACCTGGGTCCTTCCCTGCTACCACCCCAAGGAAGGGATGGCTCAGCGCTGGGCTGGAAACAAAACAAAGACACTTGGTTTTTGCTGTTGTCATTAAGGAACACTTATTTCTTGGCAAAGTAGTGGGCCCTCGCGTGGCAGGCGGTGCTGCAGGCAGTGCTCGGAGAAGGCACGGGAGATTCTGCTGTGCGTTCTTAACGGAAAAGGAAAAAATAAACCAGCCAGAGCACCCCCTCACAGATACCTACAGGGACAGAGGCCGGGCAGACAGCACAGCTAGTTACCGCCATGTTCTCTCTGCTTCCAATCAAACCTACTGGGACAAGGGACAGAAGGCAGCAGAGCTCTTTTCAGCCCTGCATACTAGGGGACAACGACCAAGGGACCGCACTCACGGGGAAAGAAATCAAGCCCAAGCAAAGCAAAAATCCTGCCTCCTGCCCACTCTTGGCTTGGCAAGATGGCTAGAGCCAGGACACACAGGACACAACCTACAGCTGCCGCCCTGCAGAGGAACAGTTACTACAGACCAAGGAGAGGCAGGATGCAGGGTGAGGAGAGAACCTCCAGCAAGCAAGGCCCGCAGCACTTCTGGAAGAGCTGCAGCCGACCAACAAACCCAGCACCAATATCAGCTGCAGGAGTGCTGTGGAAACCAACAGGTCTCCCCACAGCCACAGAGATCCCTTTCCCTCTAGGGCACAACTCAACTTGTTCTTATGATCTGAGAGCCGCCCCAGCCACACCAACAACATTTATTCTCCATTCACACTTCAGAAGTGACACACAGAACCAGTGGGTCCAGCTGGAGCATCCCCTGGGTTCCTCCTCACCTGACACAGCTTTCACTGCGAGGCTGATGATTACTCAGCCCAGGAGGAGTACAGACAATCCAAAGCAGGCAAAAGTCCCTCTGCTCCTGACAGTGGGAACTGCTAAAGCTCCCCAGAGCTCTCGCCAAAACGCTGCGCAGGTGATCACGAGCAAAAGAGACGCAGCTCCTCTAACAGAAAGCACCCCGTTTCTCACTGTTTCTTCTTCACCATGCTTGACCTGCCATTCACTTCCACCTTACTTCATGGTGGGGAGAGAAAGGAAAAAAAGGAAAAAAAATAAAATCAAGCCCTCACAACCAAACCAAGCCACCTTCATTCCTTGTCTACCAGAGACTGCTTTGGAAACAGACAGCAATGTGTGCACACAAGAGGAGGAGCTGTAAAGGCTGGGTACCATTTGTCAAGGTGGAAGACTGGTGTACATCCCTGTCTGAGCAACCTGTGAGTAAACACCTTCCTCCCGACTGTTTTTTTTTTTCTTTTTTCTTTTTTCTTTTTTTTTCTTTTTGTTTTATTTTTAGGCTTTTTGCACTACAGTGCTAACTCCCCCAACTTCCCACTGTGAAGTAACTGGGGGCAAATCCCACAAGCAAAGAACAAACCCCCAACATTGGAAGAAAACCTTAAAAACCACAAGTGAAAAAGAAAGTCACAAGTGCACCTCAGCCCTCAGGCAGGGACTGTGCATGTAAGACTACAACAATTTGAGCTTCCTTGGAACATGCATTTTTCAACGTGAAAACCCCCTGCAGGCACATGGAGCCCAACTCTCAGAGAGGAAATAACCTGGCTGTTTCACTTGGGCAAGTACCACTGAAAACTAGGGGTGAAGATGCACGATGCCCCCTCTTCTAATTCTCAGCATCATGGTACTCTGGTTCCCACAGCTAAATCATAGTAAAAAAAAAAAAAAAAAAAAACCCAAAAACAAAAACAACCCCAAATGATATACTTATGAGCAGTTTGACACAAAGTGACTGCAGCTTGTGATCAGTTACTGATGGCAACATCACGCTGGACGTGGGGCGAAGGTGGAGGAGGGCGGTGGGAGGGGGGTTGAAGTTCTAAGGTCAAACCGATGTCTCCAAGCTGTGAAAGAGGCTTTCAGGCTCCACAAAGTTGACCTCGGTTTGATCACTGTCCACTGCGTTGTTATTTCTGTTGAGGGATGAAGATCCACCCAGGCTGCCCCCACCTCGCTTTTTGAGTCCGTCGGTCTCGGGGTCATCTTCGGCGCTGTCAAGGAATGGTGTTCGAGGCTCATCTTCCTCCAGGATGAACTCCGGGTGTGTCATGAAGTTATGGATGGAGCTTCTGGACTCAGGTTTCTCGAGGCCTTCATACAAGGAGCTACGGAACGCATTCACCACCTTGATCTGCCAGCAGGCGAGGGTGCAGAGCATGGGGATAAATAAAAGAGGGGTTAGTAGCAGCCATGAGGCTGGAGCTCCCTGGAGAAAATACAAAAAAAAACCAAAGGGACAATAAAACAAAAAGGACAACAACAATGATCACCACCACGGAACAGACAGGTAAGTCAAAATGAGAGATCTATGGTGAACTAGGAGGGCCAACATGGACCAGACCAGGCACAAGGTGTGTGATGGGGAGTCAACTGACTTTCTTGCTTCAGAAGCTGCAAGAAAAGACAAAAAAAAACTCAAAAACAAACAAACAAACAAAAAAACGAAACGAGATCATTTTGAATGAACAGAAGCCAAACTGCATTAGTTGTCATTATGTGTGCGCACGCATATGTGTGTGTGTGTAAACAAGGACAAAAAAGTGGCACTACAACTCAAAAAAGAGGTGGGTTAGACAAACAGTGGGTTTGCTTCAAGGCAAAAAAAAAACAAAAAACCTACTGTGGGAGCAATGTGTTTGTTCTATCTCTGTTTTTAGACCTACAGAAAGGAACGGGCTTTAACAAGGCATCTAACAAGGTGTCACAAACTTTCCAAGCCCACGTGAAGCTGTAGGTCCAAATAGATGCCATGAGTAGCAAAATAGGACCCAATGAAACATGCAAGGAGGAAGCCAGATGCATGTGAGCTTCCCTGCACTGCAGCCAGAGATCCCAGGCTGGAGCTCCGCATCCTGCCCTGCATGTGCCAAAGAGGTCTCAGCAATCCCCCAAGGCAGATACAGCTGTTCTTTTCGGAGCTCTGCACACACAAGAAATCCAAAACCTCGCTAGAAAGCTTGGCCACTTGCTGCCCTGTGAAACCACTGGGTTTCCATTGCTGCCAAAAAGCAAGGCATGACAAGCAAGAGATCCAGAGCCCAGTTTGCATAGCTGGGGTCCTGCTGTGCTGCACTGGGGGGGGAGGGAGAGCTCTGGAAACGAGCCAGGACACGACCAGCACCAAATTCACTGCTCTTGCCAGCTCCTCTGCAAGTGCAGCCTTGTGCTCTTCCAGTCCCTCCCTGCATGACAGGTGACAAGCATCAGATCCTAGGGGTGAGGGGGCACTGCTGGGGGCTCAGCAGGCAGCTCTCCCTGCAGCCCACACACCATGCACAGGGCAACCAATGCATGCACCTGCAGGGCTCCAGCTCTTGCAGATGACTGGGGGCTGCAATCACTCAGAAGATGCCAAAAGACAAACTGAATGAACGCTGCAGTATGCAGGCTGACAAACAGCTGAAGGCTCCCAAGTTAAGAAAGACCCAGTGAAACCACACTCCCTGCTTTGCCTTTTTATTACAAAGCCAAGAGCCGTGCAGCACACAGGGCTCCTCCAAAGCGGCTCTTGGATGACTCCATGGCAGCTCCCACAGATACTCTGCTTGCTGCTTCTCCCCCAGTGCTCCCACCTTGCTGGGGCTCACACCAGCATCCTGCTGGCTCGTGTCACTGCCACTGGGAACTGCCTTAGCCGTCAGTGACCCCTCCCCACAGCAGCACCACTACTCTTGCTCCATCTCCAGGCACACAGAAGAAGAAAGCAGCTCCAGCACCTAAGGAACTCTATTAACTCCCTTCCATATCCCCTGGGGAACAAATGGAAGGAGAGCTGTAGATCACACAGAACAGATATTTCTCTAAAGCATCCTCATGCTGCAACCCTTGCAGCCTCCCCATCACACAGCAGGGGAAGCAGAGAGCTCGAAGAGCTGCTAGAGGAGAATGAGCTATGCAGCCCCTTACAAGCTGATGCTGAAAGTGTATGTTGCCACTTCTTCAGGAACCATTAGAGGCTGGGAAGCACATCAAACCCAGCACAGCTAGAGGGAGCCTCCGGGGATCATTGGCTTCAGCTTTAATAGCACTGACAGAAGCAAACCAGAGAAATTACTCAAACACAATTCTTATGCCTGAAACTCAGGAGGTTTACCTGCACAATGCTCCAGGGTTCCCTCAGCACAGGGGATGCGCTTTTGATCCGCTCCGCATCAGGCTCAGAATGACGCTGATACCCCACACCAGGGCATCCCCACAGATGCAGCACATCCTAGCTAGAAGTAAACAAACCTGCTCGGAGCCCACGAGCTGGATGTCAGACACTCAAGAGGAAGTACCACCATGAAGCTGGAGCACCAGCTGTCCTGTGACAACTGAAAGTTTCCACGGCTGGGAAAAGGGATTCAGAGCCGTTTGCTGCACTTTATCCTAGATAAAGTCAGGATTTAATGTGAGTGCACAAGACAAGGCAGACCGCTGAGCAGACCACCTGGTACTGAGACCAACAGTGCAGCACTTCATCAGCACCTCAAGAAGAGCAACTGCAAGCGCTGACTGCCCTGACGTGGTGTACAAAAGCCACAGAGAACCAGCCTAACCCACCTAGACAGTGCCTCGGTGCCTGCCAGCACAGCAGGGAGTGCAGCATGAGCTCTGGAGCAGTCACACAGCTCTCCCTTCCCCACCACTTGCAGCACAGGTGAGCCCAGACTCCACCTGTCATCCCACAGCATCTGCTCTGCCAGAGCAGCAGCTTTTTCCATATACTCATTGATTTAACCATCTCTTGAACCACTGTTGCAAGATTAATCCAAGAAGCTGTTCCTTCGTTAAAAGAACTTCACATTTACAGTTCACTCTCATTTTGCACCATCACCACTGCAGAACCACTGTGCACAACAAGGTGGAAGTGACATCTCCTGCACCACGACCGCTGAACCCCACCGCCCCAAACCAGGTCCGACCAGACACGAGGTGAGCTCTGCCAACCACCTCTTGGAGAGCCCTCCCGAGATCTCCTTTTCCTCCATTGGCTCCAACAGAGCACACAGGGCTGCTGAGGTCCAGCCCTGGAAAACTCATCCCAGAAATGAAGTGGAAGACAGCAGGACACTGTTAATCTGTAGAGGGAACTGGAGCTCAGAGCAAGGGAAGGAAAGCAGCAAAGGGAATAGAGAAACATCTAGACAGAAAACAGAGGGAAGACTTAGCAGCTTGGGTTAGCTGTTGGTGAAGTTGTTTGCTGTCTGGAAGGACACTTGCTATCCAAAATAATCCCTGCTGCACAACAGGGAGAAAATTAATCCACAGACTGAAAAAAAACTGCATTGTGATTTTGCCCATCCAAACGCCCTGCCCTGAGACCCCTCTAATGGGTTTTCTTCCAGTCAGAACGTCTCGGTGCAGAGATGACCAGAAGGCAGCTGTGCTGCTTCAGAAACACTGGGGTTAAACAAAACTCAGGTATCAGTGTTGACTAAATAGAGAGAAAACAAAATTATACAAAAGTTCTCTCTTCTCCACCACACTGTGTAAACATTGGAGACTGAAAGCTGCTCAAAAAGTCACTCAGGGTATTTCTTTAATAAGAACAGAAGAAGGAAAAATGACTGTGCAATAAAAAAGCCAATTATCTGAGAAAGATGCACTACCTACTTACAGCCCTGCAGACAGAATCCTCACTCACGTGCTCGTGGGCCATTACTCTGCTCATAACAAACACAGGGCACCATAACAGAGCAAGATTTGCTTTGCTCTGGAAACCTATTGCCAGATGCAAGATCCAGCTTCGTCCAGCCATGTTTTCCGTCCCATTTGCATGCAGAAAGCTGTGGGCACAGAATAGAGCAGCCAGCCCTGCTGAGCTGCTGCACAGGGCAGCGATGCTCCGGGGCCACCAGGGGACCAGCAGAGCCCCCATGCCACCCTTGCAGAGCAGGGGACACACTTAGGTGTGCTCCTCGTCACGGCATCATTTACACTTCTGCCGAGCTGCTGCACATTTGCGCAGCCCAAGGTTTTCTCCAGCCTCAGGGCTGGGCTCTGTGGGACCCTGGGGGTGTGAGTACTCCAGGCTGGGCACGAAGCCCTCCACCCTATCCCACAAGGCATGCAGGTTAACCCTGGGACGGGGAGGTTGCTTGCTGAACAGGTGGGCCTGGTTGTGGGTGAGTGATGCAGAGCACCCAGCTGCTCCTGCACTGCTGAGCACGGTAGGGTGCAGACCCCACTGTCACTCACACACACGTGGCAAGAGCAGAGAGCATGCAGGCAGCACGGCCCTGCGGCCCAGCCAGCCCCAACAGTGTGCTGACTGCTGTGGGAAGGGCCGAGAGGTTGCTTTGCTTCCACGTGAAGGGCTCTGGAAAAGCAACCTCTCCAGCAGCTCCTGGGGCTGTGCAGGGCCCCACTGCAAAGAACTGGCAGCGTCTGGGCACAAACAGCACTCCCTTCTCACAGCGGTGCTCTGAATTGCTGAGAAATTAGCATGGTTCTTTCAGCCAGAACCACCAATTTGGTACCTCCCTCCCCCTCCCCCCAACCCAATCAGGAGGGGGGACTCAGATGTCAGTCCTGCAAAGGAGAAGAGGTGAAAAAAACAAGGAAGCAACAAGGAATGGGGTGAGGGAAGGACCAAAAAGTATCACCAACTTATTAAGGATTCAGCACCTCTTTTTTTTTTTTTAATAAATAAATAAACAAACACCATCTCCCACCCCATCCTTCACTTTAGAAAACAGTGGGTCAGAGGGAAAGAGAGCAGGCTGGGTCAGGTTGTGCAGTGCTCTGTGGTTATTAGAAGTCATGCATTGTAATAGACTATCACTCACTGCCCGCAGGAGGAGATGCAGCAGCAGCAACAGCAGAAGTGGTGGGAGTGGAATTGACGGAGGAAAGAGCTACATGGGTTGGGCTAGAAACATTTTTTACATCGTGGTGCTGGCTCACGATGGAAGGCTGTCTCCTGAGGGCTCCCTGCAAAGAGGAGGCGCCGGTCTGGAATGTGTAAACTACGTCCATCTGCAAAGAATCAGAGAATGAGATAGCATCGTCCCAGCCAGAAACAGAGACAGGGGTCAGGGACAGAGGGAACGGGGTTGGGGCAGACACACAGGGATAGGAAGGAAGAAGGATGGAGAGGTGGAGGAGGAAGAATGAGAGAGCCAACACCACCCAGCCCTCACTCCCACAAACCCACACGGGTTTGGTCAGTGCACGGGGGCAGAGGGGAGGTAGGCTTCCAGTCCTTGAGGGTGCAAGAGGTGCAGGGTTCGTTCCACCACCGAGAGATGAGGCGAGGGGGAGCGGCACGAGGAGCAGCCCAGGTCATTCCCAGAGCTGCAGGAGGAGCAGAGACAGAGAGAGAGCAGCGGAGGTGTGAGCTGGCAGCCTGGAAAACTGTACTGAGGAAGAGTTCGTGGTCCCTTGGCCCCACGGGGCTGCGTCCTGGAGTGCAGCAGGTACACAGGACCATAGCGTTCTATGCATTCCACAGCCTCTCCCCCAGAAGAACACAGGGCCCAGAAGCAGAGCTGGTAGAGCAGGCAGGGAAGCCACCAAGATGCTGCACCCATGGCACACTCCGCTCAGGAGGGACCGAGCAGCACTCAGAAGCTTCCCTGACTCACGTCCCCTCGGCTGCCCCTGCCCTGTGCCGACCCCTCGCTGCTCCCCTGGGGAAAAGGACACTTTCTCCAGATTGCATGCAGCTCTCACACTCTGCTTTGCTCTTTGCCCAGTCTGACATTCATCAGGGACACACCCTGCCCTGGCACGCCAGGCTGGCCACAAGGAACACGGCCTGTTTAAGGCATGCCATCTGGGCACTGACTTCCCTGAAATGCTCAGGTCTGACCTGCTGTTGCTCCACTTGACATATGGGGCACCACAGCCAGAAAAAACATGCTCGAGAGGCCTCAAGATTTGCCAGCAGTTGCAGAGGGGAACAATGCTCCTAGGCACTGCAACAGGTCCACCACAGCTCACAGGACACAGAATCCAGAGCCATGGGCACAAATGCAGGCACAGAGCCAGAAGCACACCTGACTTTTGGCTGCCCACACCTATCAGGACATCGGGATTGCTTCCTGACCTGACCCGGGGCTCCCAGAGGCAGCTCAGCCCCTGCCAGCGTTGCCCTTCACCTTGAAACCCTCAAGGCAACATCTCAAAGAGAAGCCAAGCTAACCCAGCCCAAGACAGCTGCCATGCTAGCTCCAGTTCCTGCGCTTGGGCCACTTCAGTTGACTTGGTTTGTTGCAAGGCCTGAGAAGTGGGAACAAAGGGTGATACATGAGCCCCAAGCTTTGCTCCATAAGGCAGCTCTGTCCTGGGCCTCAAGGGAAGAAGGACAACTCCTCACTGCAGGGACTTCCCCTGCCCCAAACAGCCAACCACTGTGGAGGCAGGGCAGGAAAAAAAACGCGAGGACAACAAACACCTTTCAGGAGAAAAAAAAAAAGTCAGAGAAACAATTGATGCAAAAACCATATTAACCAATTCTCTTCCCTTTCCCTGCTGGAGGGCCAAGAGCAGCAGACACAGAGCAGGAGAGCTGGCAAGGAGGATGGCGAAAACCCTCCAAGGGCAGCAGGAGGTGATGCTCATCCACAGCCATCCCCTTGGAGCAGGGCTCTGCTCAAGGACTGAGGGAGCCAGGCTCAGCCTGAGGTCCTGAGCTCAGAGAGCACAGTCAGCTCCTGGAAGCACCAGCAACCATCTGGCAAGGGGAAGACGCCTTCCCCAGACACCTCAGACTGCCTAAGGCTGATACCAGCTCACATCAGCCTGGAGTGGAAGACAGCCCTGCTGTAAGAGCCCCAAGGGAGGGAGCTCAGTGCTCCACGCTGCAGCTCCACTGGGCTGATCCCTGCCAGGATCACTACAGCTCCAGCACTGCTCTGCTACCAGTGAGGTGGCCATCGGCCACATTCTGCGTCAAAACAGAACTCGTACCACCCCCTGCCCACCCCAGGCTGTCCCAGAAAGTCAGACTATCCTGGTTTCCGAAAACCAGGACAGACCCAGAAAGGCACAGGTGGTGGGAGAAGTCTAGCCCAGGAGGTGATGGCATCCTCTGAGCAGTGGCTGTCACATCTTTCCAGACGGAGCCCTGGAAAGAAAGGGAAAAGGAGAAAGAGAGAGAAGAAGGGCCCACAGGACCCGCTGCCCCACATTACCTGCGTCTGTATCCTGTTGAGACCCCTGAACCACAGGATCTGCCCACGCCGCAGCTCCATCTCAGCGTGGTCGATCTCATCCACATCCTCTGGCAGCTCTTCCTCTGGGATCTCCTCCTTGGTGATGCCGTGCCCAGCTTCCTTGAGGAATTTCAGGTGGCTGGTAGGGACTGTGCAGATCAGCTGGGGAGAGACAAGGAGAGCAGCTTAGCTGAGACAACCCACACCTCAGGCAAGCAGGGTGAGAGCAAGGAATCTACCAGCAGCTTCCTCTCTGGTGGTATGGGGTTGGGATGGAGCATCACCATCCCCAGCTTTGAACAAAGAGAACCTAGGGAGAATCTGAGCACTGAAGTGGTGGGAAAAGGAAAGGCGGGCTTGGCTAGGGTTACAGCTGGGCAAGGAGGAACAGCTGCTTAGTTTTCATATAGGCTGGCTCTTACCTGGCCCCAGAGGAGCTCTCCCACTCCAATAAATATACACCAGAACCACTGGCTCAGGGTGAGCCCGGAGCAGCTGAAAGGCTTCCCACCAAACTCCACAATGATGATCTACAGCACAGGAGAGTACAAGTCACACACTGGAAACTTAGAGGGATACAACGATCAGTAGTCATGGGAAGAAAAGGTCTTCCAGACCCACAGATCATAAGATAAGCATTGGAGCCTCCCATCTAGACCAGTAAGGCCACCAGAGATGCATGCTGGCTAGCCAGCCCCAGAACCTCCCAAGCCACTCCAGACCCCAGATGTCAGGTTTGGAGTCACTGAGAAGCTGCAGGAGAAGAGCAAGGTAGAAGAACAGAGTCGTGGTGAGGAAGTGCAGCACATACTGGTCCTCCCCACATCACTGTCCCCTCCCAGTTCCACCACCCATCCTTTTCCCCCCCACGCTGCTCCCACACACCCTCACCTGGGCTGCAAACGTCCCCAGCACCACTGTGCAGAAGATGGGATTGCGGTAGATGGCCTCAAAGACATTCCTCTCCCCATGGATCTTGCGTGCATTGATCTCATTGAATAACTGCATCATGACGAAGGTGTTGAAGACAATGGTGTAGTGCTCAGTGGGTGGGGAATGCAATGGGGCGTTCCGGCCACTGTCAATGTCAAACAGTTTCTCCCCTAAGCAGACAAGGGGTTTGGGGTGGGACACAGGCAGGGAGAAAAGAAACACGATCTCATCTTCTCTGCACTGGTGGAGGTGGAATTGGAGTCCAAGGTTCTCAGTGAAGATCCCCTGACCCAGTTGGACTCCTCGACACCAGCCCCAATCAACCATCATTTCCTTAAAAAGGCTATAAAAATTTGGAAAATATGCTTCCCCTGGCTGGAACCACCAGCCACTGATGTACAAAACAAACCCATGCACTCAGCATAAGTACTTGTGATTATCATACCACCACCTCCCACCCATTAAAGGAGCTCTGTGCTGCCTTGAGGGTTACTGGGTGACAGCTCAGAACAGCCCCCAACACCAGTAAGGAACTGGGGGCAGTCCGCCCCTTCCCTCCACCCTCTCCCCCCAGTTTCTTGGGGATCTCAGAGCTCACCCACAAAAAGCAGTGTGAAAATGATAGTCAGCTGGTACACAGCGTGCCCCAGGATGTTCTTCATCATGGTGCGGGAGATGAGTGGCTTGTTGCGGCCATACGGCTTGCGGAGCAGCAGGGATTCAGATGGAGGCTCCGTTGCCAGGGCTAAGGAGGCAAAGGTGTCCATGATGAGGTTCACCCACAGCATCTGCACGGCTTTCAGGGGAGAATCCTGCAGGGAGAGCGTGGACAACATGACATAGCGACTAAACCAGCCCATTTTCGCCTCTGTTTTGCAAGGTGCTCCGCTCTCCTCCTGCCAAGAGCAGCAGCTCCATACCTGCGTGATGCAGGCGCCCGTGAAAGCCACGATGACAGCCACCACGTTAACTGTCAGCTGGAACTGCAGGAACTTGGAGATGCTGTCATAGACGTTGCGACCCCACATCACTGCCTTGACGATGCTGGTGAAGTTGTCATCCGTCAGGATGATGTCTGAAGCCTCCTTTGCAACATCAGTGCCTGCAATGCCCTTAAGGGCCAGGGAGGAAGTGGGCAGGGGTAAGTGACAGGACAAGCTCCACGCCCAGCTTTACAATGCTGCCTCTTCCCAGAAAATGCAGTGTATCAAACACATCCTGCAATGCCCTGCAAGGAGACAGTTCCCCAGTGCTTTCCCTTCTTTCCCTTCTCTTGAGACTTGCAAGACCTGTCTTGGATGGGAATGCCTGACTTTTGCAGGGCACGAGCTTCAGAGAGAAGGTGGGCAGAGCAGCACAAGGTTACTGTTTGATTGCTGCTCTGGGGGGATGCGAGCAAAGCCCAGCGGTCAGGGTCTGATCCCACACATGGGGGCACAGAGCATCACTGCACAATTATCAAGGAAGACAGCCTTCTGCTGTCCCCCCACAGGCTCCTGCTCCTGCTGTGTCCTGCATGGGCAAGCATCAGGCTCTGTCCAGCAGCTGGCTCATGCTTGGAGATGTAAACTAACAATTCAGTGGAAAGCAGTTACACTCCTCAGCTATTGTTTGTTGCCTCCTTCAGGCAAGGCAAAGAAAAGCAGCGAGGCAGATCGGGGCTCCTTCAGTGCAAATCAACTCCAGGCAAGCACCAGCACTGTGCCTGGATTCTGACTTGTCCATTACGAGCCTGGTGCACAGCTGTGGAGCTGAACCAATGCACAGTGAGCTCCGTCCCAGGCTGGCTCTGTGCAAAACTCTGGTGCTGCACCAGCACCTTGCCAACTTCAGCCTCACACTGTCCCCCCTGTAGTGCATCAGAGAAACCCATCCCTAACCCAGACTATTGGAGCACTGTTTTCCAATCACTTGCTAGCAGTCCTAGAAGGTTCCTGAGAACTCGCACCAACCTCTGGATAGGTTTATTTCTCCATTTTAAGCCCTTAAGGAAGATCTGAACAAAGAGTTTCACCGCTGCAGAGAGAATTTAAGTGCTCATAACAATCAAGTAGATCCTCAGATCCTCTCCCTGAAAAGCAACGGCCACCCCCATAGCCAGGGAGCACCTGCTGGCAAACCCAGTGCTCTTCTGTACCATAGCAAATCCAACGTCAGCTTTCTTCAGAGCTGGGCCATCATTGGTCCCATCCCCGGTGACAGCCACCACCTGCCGCTGGTCACCAACAGTGCTGTCAATAATTCCTGCAACAGGGGGGCAAGGAGCGCAGAAAAAGTTAGCTCTGAGGGCAGGCTCCAGCAGAGATCATGCTGCAAAAAGCAGCTGGGCAGAGCTGCCCAGGGCACCCGGGGGAGAGAGGTGGTGAGCACCAGGAGCAGCCATGCACCCACCTTTGACGAGCGTGTGCTTATCTGTTGGGGACGAGCGGGCCAGCACACGCAGCTTGGGCCAGATCTTGTCCAGCTGCTCCTGTTCCACCTGCAGGACAGGGCGGGTGTGAGGAGGCACAGGGCCCCCCAGACACCTTCTGCCTCACCAGAATGTGACCCTCAAAGCACCCAGCCACCCACAGCAGGGCCCCGCGCTGCTCCCCCACCTCGCCCTTCTCGTTGCGGATAAGCCGGTTGAACTCCTTCCCTTCCAGGCACAGGAAGTCCTCTCCAGGCAGCAGGATGCCACACTTGGTGGCGATGGCACGGGCAGTGTTGATGTTGTCCCCAGTCACCATGCGGACAGTGATGCCCGCGCGCTGGCACTTCAGGATGGCATCTGGCACCTGGTGATGGGGACAGGCGAGGGGTTGGCAGAGCACTCAGGCCATGGTCCCAGGGGGATCACAAGCCATTTACACCCACCCTTAGCTCAGAGACAAGATGCTGAACCAACACATGCCACCCAGAACCAGCTCAGCTCCTTATCTGTGAGGAACGGAGAAATCTCTAGGGAACAGAGCACCCTGCTCCTGCCCTCGCAGCCCTGTTCGGAGCAGCCCCCCCAACCCCTGCCCCAAGGGAAGAGAACCTCATTGCCCATCATGAGGCACAGCCAGGCAGCCCACCCGAACAGGGGCATTCCTCCTGCCCCTGCATTGCTCTGGAAGCATGTTGCTACACTAATGGATTTATCTATTACAGAGCAGTGGGGGAAGAGGATATTGGCGAGAAATCTGCAAATTGAATCACAACCTCCAGAGTCACTGCAGACAGGACATCTGTAATGCAATTCCCAGACCCAGATACTTGAACATCTAATAAGGAAAGATGCAAGCAAGGCAGAAGCGTAGGGGCAAACTCCAAAATGCAATTAAGAGGCAGGTAGCAGAAGGTTTATTGTATTAGGTCAGCTGCCTGCCTGGCACACCGTGATGGAGGCAAATGGGGGCAGCAAGCTGCAAGGTGAAGGAACCAGCTGGTCAGTCCTGCCCTCTCTCCAGCATTCTCATCACTCCTGACTGGTGCAGGAGTGCTGCCTGCCTCCCTGCACCCGACAATTGCACACGGAACCTGTCGGGCTTCTGCAAAGGGCCGTGGAGCAACAAGGGAGGGGAGTCTGAGTGGAAGCAGGCTGCCACCAGGTCCTTCTGCCTGTGTACGCAAGGGCATTGCCAGCACACAGTAGCACGTTGGTAGTTTTGTAAGGGGCTCATACTCTTAAACATCAAGAAGAGAGAGTCCTGGGCCAGGAGCATGGTTGGGTGATGGGCTGTCAGGGCCACAGTACCTCTGGCCGCACTGGGTCCTCTATTCCCACCACAGCAATGCAGGTCAAGTCAGACAGGATCTCATTCTCACTGTCCCAGTCAGGCTCAGTGTCAGCAGGGAAGTCACGGAAGGCCAGGCAGATGGTCCGCAGCCCATGGCATGCCATGGGCTCAATCACCTTCTTCACCATCTCATCCCGATCCTTCACTTTGAACACCCGGGGGTCACCATTCTTGTCCAGGATCTTGGTGCACCTAACACAGGACCAGGACAGGAAGGTAAAGGAGGCTGCCTGTGGCTGTTCAACAATCCATCACCCAGTTTCCTCATCTGTAAAATGAGTACAACCCTCTCACCCAGTACCCTTACAGCCTTACCAAAGACACTTAAGAAGAGTTAGCACTTTGCACAGCAGCACCTGTTGATGCTCACCCCTTCCCCTTCCCCAGTGCTGGGTCCCCTTTACCCCACAGCCCCGCAGCCCCCCAGAATAGCTCAACAGTGCATTGAGAGCTCAAAGCCCATGGGACAACTGGGCTGGGGAGAGGACCCAGACAGCATGGGGGACAGTTACTTGCGGAGGATGATCTCAGAGGCTCCCTTGCTGTACATGCGGAAGCTGTTGTCGCTGTTCTTGAGCACCGTGCTCATGGACTTGCGCACTGAATTGAAGGTGTAGACCTTGTACAGCTTCTCCTCTGGCACCTCATTCCGCACAGCCTGGTAATCCTGCTTCAGGTCCAGCACGAAGCCCAGCAAGGCACACTCTGTCTTGTTCCCCACTTGCCGGGGTAGCCCCCCTTCCTTCTCTGGTGGCTGGAGGAGAAAGGAGGAAAAGCAATATAAACCTGGGCACTGCAGAACACAGTGGAATGGAAACAGCAGGGATAGCCAACTGTGGGAACGTAAGGCTGCGGTTCTTAGGAGCTGACTCACCAGGATCTTGGATGTGTAGGCAGAGTTGATGGCAACACCATTGACAATGAGGTCCAGGATCTTGGGCAGGATGGCTTCGGGGTCAGGGATCTGGCGGTAGTGAGTGTCCCCCACGTAGGCCTGCACCACAGTCATTCGGTTCATAGTGAGCGTGCCAGTCTTGTCTGAGCAGATGGCAGTGGCGTTACCCATGGTCTCACAAGCATCCAAGTGCCTCACAAGGTTGTTGTCCTTCATCATTTTCTGCAGCAGACCAAGAAGGTTAAAGCCAAAAGCCTGAATTCTCCCATCACACTTCTCCATACCCGCCACTCGTCCCCACTGGCCTCACCTTCACCGAGTAGGCCAGGGAGATGGTGACTGCCAGGGGGAGCCCTTCGGGCACAGCCACCACCAGCACGGTGACACCGATGATGAAGAACTTGACGAAGTACTGGATGTAGATGGGGGTGCACTCTGCCAGCCAGGGCCGACGCTGCACCCCAAAGGTGTCGATGACAAAGTACAGTACCAAGATGATCACTGTGATGGCCGACATGATGAGCCCTGGGGGAAGATGCCGAGCAGCAGGTGAGGGGACACGGGGATGGCAGGCAGGGGACAGCCCCCTCCCACTGTCCCACTTCCAGTGAGAACCCCTGGTGACGGCTCACCTGCCTTCCCAATCTGGACCGCCAGGCGCGTCAGCTTCCCCTGGAGCACAGACTTCTCCTTCTTAGGCACCTTCACCTTCTTCTTCTCCTTCTCCTCATTTTCCACCCCTTCCTGGCTCTTCAGGGGTTGGATCTCTAAGGCCACACCATCCTGAGTTTTAGCTACAGCCCCAGGGCAAAATAAGACACCACATGTGAGTAGGAGAGAGACCAGGGAGACCTGCAGGACACCGCTGAGAAATATGGTGGTGGGAAAGAGAGAAAACCCAGAGCACAAACCATTCTCCATGACACACACATCCGAGCACATGGAAATCTCTTGTCCCAGGGCCCTGTTGCCTCTCTATGGAACAGCCTTGACATCTACCCCATGTCCCAGCCCCGTGCAGAAAGGGTCCTGGGGCTGATGCTGGCTACAGGTCACAGCAGTGCAGCCAGAGATCCCCAGCCTGGCTGCTGGGCACAGGCAGGATGTCTCCAAGCTCTTCACAGCTGCTTCACACCCTGAAGCACAAGAAAAGCACGCTGGGTTTGTCCCAAAGCAGCTCCAGTGCACCAGCAGACCCCATCCCAGTCGCAGCACAGCAGGCCGAGCTTGGAGAGAGCTTCTCTCTGCTCTGTACCCCTCTTCTGTGCTTTGATGCCCTTTTTAAAGCCCTTCTGGTGGCTCAGTGGGAATCCATTTCACAGAGGAGCACTGGAAGGGGGAGATGGAGGGGGAGGTTAGGCATTCCAATGGAACTGGAAGAGGAGTGAACCAGCTCCCGCAATCCCAGCCCCAAGCTGTTATGTTTTTAAGACCCAAGAAGGCCAGGCCCAGCTCCATGGCCTCCCTCAGCTGCAAATCCCAGCTGGGCTGGGAGGCATGGAGTGGTATGATGGAGCAAAGGCTGAGAGCTGCTGGGCTGGGGGAGCAGCGGGAGCACCCCACAGCAGCCCCAGGACCCATTCCCTCCTGGAGCCACTGCTCAATGGTCAGAGACAGCCCCAAGCTGCCCTGACAACCTCCACAGTTACAACAACACAGACAAAACAAGCACCCAGACACATCTGACGGGAAGGAGAGCAAAACTCAAACTGCTGAGAGGAAAGAAAGAGAGAAAGGGGTGGAGAAAGAGGTGCAGAAATGGGCTTCCTCCACAGCCTGCAAAGAACAGGGTGAGAAACACTGGCGAGGAGACGCTCACGGAGTCTAGGCCATGGGAGGAGAGGGTGCAACCATCACACGAGCCGGGTCTCACGGGAGATTTATCCCAGGAGGATGTGACCCATGTCTCTTGCCCCACCATGCCCAAACACACACCCTGCAGGAAAGCAGCACAAATGCTTCAGAGCCATAAGGTCATGTCAACAGGGACCAAGGGATGCTGTGCCAGCAGTCCAGACTGTCAGGAAGAGGCCTATCCTCCCTGCACAAAGACTCTGCCCCAAGCAAAGGCCACAGGGCATTGATCCCGTTGTGCCGGAGCTCTGGGACCATTGCACCCTCTCCCAGGACGAGGCGAGAGTCCCGCCAGAGCAGCAAAGAGCACAGACTCATGAGAAGAAGGAAGGAGGAATGCTTGGTAGTTAGTGTGGTGCTGGTTCAAAGGATGGAGAGGCTGGTTACCTTTGTTGCGATTTTCAGGGGCTCCGGTTTTTTTACCTGTTCAAAGAGAGAAAGGGTGCAGGGCTGAGCACACAGACCAGACAGAGGGATGGGAAGGGTCAGCCCTCCTCCAAGGGGCTGCACACACTGCTCCAGCAGCACCCGTGCTGAGGGCTCACCGCCACAGGGCGCTGAATGTGGGACCCCAGACAGCTCACCTCACCTGCCAGAGGTAATCCTGCATCCCAGCACAGCAAGGAGCTGGAGTTCCCCAGCACCCTGACCTCACCGCTTCAGACGTTCCCTGAAATCACCCCTGCAAAGCACTCACTATAAACCCCATCAGAGCTCCACGGGGTGCCAAGGGCATCTCAGACCTCCAAGGAGAAGACACAAGCAGAGCCTGATCTCTGCACAGCAGATCATTCACACATCTCCCCCAGCAACGGGCAGTGCTACACTGCGCACATCCCCCCAGGTCTGCAGCAGGCAAGGTCCCCATTTTGGGGTCCCCCAATGGGTCACCATAATATGGGAAGCGCAGGGCTGCTGTTACCTAAATAAGCAGCACACGATAAAGGGGTTTATATACCAGAGACCTGGTTTCTCCCTCCCTCCCTTCCCCTCAGCAGCACAGCAAGAGATGAGTCAGGGCAGCACTCCCTTTCCTAAGTTATGCTCCCAAATTAAGGGCTGCAAGGTCCCAGCACTGGACACATAGCTAGGTTTGCTCTGGGATCAAGTGACAGAGCCTGAGGACGAGGAAAACACCAAGCACCATGCATGGACCTCAAACACACTGCTGTTAGCTTCAACAGCTTTCTCTCCTCATGATCCCAACTCCAAGCTGGGCTATACCCCAGCCGCCCCAGCCTGGATCACAGCAACACCAGCTTGGGATCCTTTGTGATCAAGAAGATCTGAGATGGAGCAGCAAAAGGGCAGAGCTGAGGCAGGAAAGAGTTCACATTCCAGATCGATCAGGGACATCTCAAGCTGGTCCCTCTCCTCTTCCACACCCACCAGGCAGAGATCTCTCCTCGCCCTCTTCCCATTCCCTGTGCTTCACCTCTCAGCCCAGTCAACTCAGGGATGCCAACCAAAAGTCCTGATGGCACAGCATGTGCTGCTGGCATCCTGCAGGCAGCCAGAACTCACCCTACAACCACAGGGTGGCTGATGAGTTCCCTACAAAGAACCAACAACAGCCTCAATCCCATTCCTCTCTGGTCCTTGACTCCCGCTCAGCCTCCAACTCCAGGCTGCAGCTGGCTGAATGAGAGAGACGGAGATGTGACCGAAAAGAGCAGGAGAACTGAGATCTGGGTGCACAAAGGGCTTTTCTCTTGCAGCACATCCCACGTTGGCCTGAGAGCTCATCATACCTGTCTGTGTCACACACACTATCACACAATCACATCCCATTGCTGTGGATGGGGCTTGTCGCACACCAGCAGGTGCTTCCCAGGGAAGGGAGAAAGGCAACAAATGGGAAGAAGCAGATTTAGGAGATCTCCTTACCTTTCTTCACCTTCTTTTCCTCATCTCCTTCTCCTGCACCCAAAAGAGTGAAGATGATTCCTGTCTGGGAGTTGATTCCCACTGCGGTCACCACCATCCGCCCAGAGCCCTCCATCACGTGGGTACCTGGCACAGCAGGAAAGCATGGTGAGAAAGGACACAGCACAGGGCTCCCACTACCCCAGAACCTCTTGTCAGCTAAGGTTCTCTCCCTGGGACATCTGCAGCCTCAGCAGACACCACAGCAGCTCTTGTCACATGGGGACCAGGCAAAGGCCCTGCTGCCATCCCAACATCTCCCACAGTACAGAGCTGCTCCAGGGCTGGGAGCCACAACTCAGCTGCAAAAAGATGGTGAGGATCCCATCCCAATCAATTCAGCAATTCTGAATATCACGCTGACAGCTCTGGGACTTCCAGTGGAGGAGCCTCACCTGACAGCAGCATGGGGTCTTTATCAAGTGATTTTTTAACTTGGTCGGACTCTCCAGTCAGCGAGCTCTCATCTATTTTCAGGTCATTCCCTTGGATCAGAATGCCATCCGCTGGCAAGAGGTCACCTGGGAGAGGAGCAGAGAGATGGGGTTGGTCCCAGTCCAGTCGGCTGCAGCATCCCTGTCTGCTGCACCCAAGGAAAAACTCTGAGTTAGCAACAGGGCTCAAGAAATTCATCCCAATTTAGAGAAGGCTGGGGATTAAGCTGATCTCCAATAGCTCACTGATGTATAAAAGCATTGTATAAAAGCATTGAGGCCTTTCACTCCATCAGGCAGTGCTCCCCCTGTGTCTGCTTTTAATGAATCGACGTCCCACCTTCCCAAAGCCTCAATGCTTCCAAACCACCGCAGGAACACACAACTGCAGGGGCAAGAGAAAGCTCCACGTAAAAGTCAGCTCCACACAAGAAAACCCTCATTCCTGATAGAAGCTGCAGGAAACGGGCAAAGTGAGGCCCTGCTCCTTGCTCACCCAGCGCTCAAGGGCTGCATCTAGGACACCCCTTGCTAGGGAGATGATCTCTAACAAGGACACGGTCAGTGCTGGAGCAGACCAAAGCTACGTGCTGACCTCAGTTCCAATCACCCTGCTGAAACTCCAGAACTCCATCCCATTGCTCCCAACCTCCGTGTGCCATGCGGCAGAACCGGGCCGCCCTCACCCCACTCACCGTACTTGATCTGTGCAATGTCTCCCACCACGATTTCTGCCACAGGAATCTGGATCACCTGCCCTTTGCGGATCACTGTGAACTTCTGCTCTTGTTCAATGCGGCTCTGGAGGCCGCGGAATTGCTTCTCTTTGCTCCAGTCATTGAAGGCAGTCACCAGCACCACGATGATGACTGAAAACAGGATGGCTGCCCCCTCGATCCAGCCGGCCTGTGCCTCACCCTCGTCCTCCACGCCACCTGACGACTGCCCACACACTGCCATCAGAGAGGAGAACAGGTTGTACTGAGGGGAAAAAGGGAACTGCCCTATGGCGTGGCTCAGCCACCATGGGGCATCACGGCTGTGAGGAGCACTGCCAGATCTGCCAGGGCTGAGCTGCTGGAGAGGAGCTCTGTGGAGAAGGATCCAAGGGGTCCTGGGGGCCAACAGCGTGACCATAAGCCCACGGCATGCTCTGGTGACCAAGAAGGCCAGTGGCGCCCTGGCTGACCAACAGCTGACCGTGCGCCATCAGTGTGCCCTGGTGGCCAAGACAGCCAGCGGTCCCTGCGGCGTACAGCACAGAGCACGGCCACCCTGGTGAGGGGCTGTCACATCTCAGCATGGGGAGGCTACATCTGGAATGCTGCGCCTAGTGCTGCACTCCCAGTTCCAGGCAGACATGGAACTGCTCGAGAGAGCCCAGTGGAGGGCGACAAAGAAGATTTTAAAGGGCCTAGAGCATCTCTAGTATGAGAAAAGGCTGAGAAGCCCTGGAGCTGTTCAGCCTGGAGGAAGGAAGGCTGAGAGGGGAATCTCATCACTGTTTATAAATATCCAAAGTGTGGGAGTCAAGTTGATAGGAATGGACTCTTCAGTGGCGAGCAGCAATAGAAGAAGGGGCAACGGGCAGAATGGAGCACAGGAAATTCCATATTAACATAAGGCAGAACTACTTCACTGTCAGAGTGAAAGAGCACAAAAACAGGCTGCCCTAAAAGGTTATGGAGTCTCCTTCCTACCTGTGTGACCTGTCATAGGGAACCTGCTTTGGCAGGGGGGTTGGACTGGATGATCTTCAAAGGTCCCTGCCAGCCCCTGTGATACTGTGACCCTGTGATCTGGGCAGGCGCTCATGAACAGCCAGCCCCATCCCTCTGTGCGCCAAACCACAAAACATCACGTGGGGTTGGGCCACCACACCCCTGGTCTCTGAGCATCCACGGGGACCAGCCAGGAGCAGCCCTGAGCAAGCTGCAGCGACACTGCACCCAGACACTTGTCAGTGCCCATCCCTTACATGGATGGGAGGGAAGAAGCCACCATCAAAGGCGAGAAGGAACAGGACGGCCCAAAGGCGCTGCAGCTTACCCCACAGGTCCCCTGATTTTGTCCCACCACTCACGTTCATTGTCACCACCCGGGGGATGGTAGAACGACAGCCCCAGGGAGATTATGGCTGCTATTTCCAAGATGATCAGGGTGACGTCCTGGAGTGCCTCCCACACTAACTGCAGGAACGTCTTGGCTTTCTTGGGAGGAATGAAGTTCTGGCCGAACACCTGCCTCCTCTTCTCCAGGTCAGTCGGGTTCCCAGACAGACCTGGGGACGGGACAGGGCAAGATGTGACCAAACAGAAATGTAGCCGCCACGTTCCCTCCACTGCTGAGCAGAGCAGAGCCCCTGCACAGCACAGGCAGGGACACCTGGGGTGCACACAGAGCCATGCCAGTTGGCACTGGCCGGCTTGTTTACACACCGCATCAAATTAACCGTAAATCTGGCACTGGGAGCAGCGCCCGGAGCCACCTGAGCCTTGCCAGCTCGGGGGGAGCAGTGCAGAGAGTGGCTGCGGGCCACGTGGGAGCAGCCCCATCCCCACACCCAGCTCCATGCTCTCCACCTTAAGCACACCCCGGGGCTGCTGCCAGCTCCAAAAACAGCAGGCACGCAGCTGTAACGCCCAGCCCCGCTGCACCCCATGGAGGAAGCAGCAGGAGGAGCTCCGCCTGCACGCACCCCTTCTTCCCTGTGACTAACTCTGCATTCCCACCCAGGGCTCAGAGCGGGATCTCCCAGCCCCGCGGCCCCAGCCAGCCCTGCCCATGCGGCGGGGATGGAAAATCTCGCTAAGAGCCACGCTTGACTCATTGCAGCGTCAGGGCTGGAGGCCGCGGGGCCAGGAGGGCGTCCACATGGATCCTCCAAACCTACCTGCAAGAGCCTCCTCCAGAGCTGCCCCACATCCTCCCGATAGGGCAGACAGAGCCCACCAGCTTTCAGCTTTTTTCCCTCTCTCTTTTTTTTTTTTTTTTTTTTTCCTTTCTTTTTTTAGGAGCTGTGATCCCTACCCAGGAGGAGAGCTGTGTGCAGGACAGCTCCACAAAGCAGGAGGAAAGCAGAGCCATCCTCCTAACTAGGAGCCCCCCAAAGCAGACTTGGGGTGGGCTCCAAGAGGCAGTAGCTGCCAGAGCTGCTCCAAGCGCTGTGTGTGAGGCAGTATCTGCTGACACCCAGCAAGAGATGCTCCGACTGATGACTCAGCCTTGCTCCCGTCCCACTCCTCTTCTCCACCAGCTCTGCCTGACAAGGGATGCCTATCAGCAGGGATGGGGCTGGCGCAGCTGCTGCCCTGTATGGGGAGAAGGGGAACAGCACACCTGCAAGCTCTCTCTGGAGTTTTGGGGGTCTGCTGGCACCTCTTAGGGCAACGGACAGAGAGAAGGCCTCCACGCTGGAGACCCAGCACAGTGGGAACTGAGCACCCCACTCAGGTGTGAACAGACAGCAGCTCTCTTCCTACACAACCTTAGCTCATAGGAAATCACCTTTCTTCCCTCTCCAAGCTCAGCAGGACAGACAATAAAGATCACCTCCAAGCAAGGAGAGGATGGGACCACACCTGAGGCATAAAATACAGTGATGTGAACACAGCCAACAGCCTCATACGGAGGCAGGGGCTCAGGCCTGGAAGCTGCCCTTGGGATCAAGCAGTGCCCGTTCCTTATGCAAGCTCCAAGGCCAGGGCAGAGCCCCTTGGGTTCATTTCCCACCTCCCTTCCCACTCCCAAAAGCGCACTCACCTTTTGGCATGGCCAAAGCACATTGTTTTGTCATCTGGACTTGGTATTTCCACTGAGACTCCCCTCCTCCTCTAATGACATCCCGGGATTGTCTCCCCTTCCCGGTGCAGCTCACAGCTGGGAAACGCGCTAACCCAGTTCACAGCACCAGCAAACCACACAGCCCCATCCCACAGCCCCACAGGGCCGCATCCTGCCCACGCCATTCCCACAGCCCTCAGTGCTGTGAGCAGGGCGTTTCTCCCTCCATGCCCCTTTCAAAACCATGGAAAAGGCTCAAAGCTACCCCGTACCAGGGCCACAGCACCACACTGGGGGGGTGGCCAAAAACTCCACCCCACACCAAGGGGAGAGGTGACATCTGGTGACATCCTTCCACCACAACTTTCCAGAAGGCAGCCAGCACCAAACCCACCACCACGCTCCATCCTATGGCGCTCAGAACGACTCAGTCACATTCCCAGCTCCCACGGCTGCTTGAGAAGCCCTAAATCAGCAGGAAGACAGCGCATCTCCCCATCCCCATCAGCGCTTTGGGTTGAGATGCTCACACCAATAGAACAACCAACACCCCATACAGCCCCACTGTGAATCACTGAGCAGCTGCAAAGCCAGTGCCACACGTGGGGCAACAGCAGGGCAGGGAGAGGAGCCTCAGCCCCACCGGCCACCCCTCATTCTTCAATATACTGCATCCCTCAAAGCTCACAGCAGACATGCACTGCAATGGAACCACGCTTGAAGCTCCGCCGGCAGTTGGGTGAGCAGCATCACGCCGGCTGCTTGGGAGCCCTCTGGCTTGAGCTCCGTGCACATCCCATCTGGCCAAGGGGCCGCTTACCTTCAACCGGTGACGTCTTCAGCCTCTTGCAGACGCTCTGCACGCCGCCATAGGAGTCGTTAATCCGGGCGACTGCCTCGGCACTCCGCAGCTCCATGAGATTCCTGAGCTCCACCACCGAGCAACCAAAGTCCCCCTCATGGTTGCCTTCAGCAACCGAGTTCCCAGGGTGGTGGTCGGCCACGTTGTTCGTCATCTCGCCAAGGACAGAGCCACGAAGGCTTGCTTTCGAGGGGAGCTGGGGGCAGCCCCACAGATGTCCCTGTCCCTTGGGGTGGGCTGGGTGCAGCGGTACCTCTAGCCGAGCCTGAGTCCTCCGGATGAAGGTGTAAACAGGATGTGCATGTTACCGTGGAGGCAACCTTAGCAACGGCCGGCGTGCATCTCCTGCCGGAGGAGGAGGGCTCCCTGGATACCACAGCAACTGGAGCTGCGGAAAAAGATGGCAAAATGAGGAGATGGTCATGGGGAGGGCTGTGAAGAAACACGCATTGTGGGGATGGCAGATGGAAATAGGAGGTGGTGGGGCTTGGGGACATGCACCAGCCACGCTTGCTCTCCCGGCCCCACAGAACATCAGGGTTTGGCTTTATTTGAGCAAAACTCCGTGTTGAGCAGGGCTGGGGGCAGGAAGGGCAGCCAGGTGGTTCTCCACTCAGCCCGCAGCTGGGCAGCCCAGAATGAGCTGGATTTAAAAATACATCTCAGCAGTGGAAAGCAGCTGTTTCCTCACTACACTGCGGTCCCCCGGCAGGAGCGCCTGGTCAGAGCAAGTACAGAAAGCATCCCAGGTGTCTGACAGGAGGGGGCTCACAGCGCCAAGCTGGTTTCTGATTGCTAGTAAGAGTTGACAGGAAATGACAGAAACTCCCCCATCTCTCTAGCACAGAAGTTGGTGCATTAAGGACATCTCTCAAAGCCCCCAAATGCTGCTGGACAGACGATGGCTGAGTCCTGCAGCAAGGGCAGAACCCCAGACCTGCTCCAGGCAGCAACCTCCCCTGGGCACAGCATCCCCTACCCTGGCATCTGGAGCAGGAAAGAGCAACACTGGTGGCAGCCTGGGAGATGGAGCAGAATAGCAGCACAGCAAGAGCCAGGGGAAAGAAGGACCTTCTCCCCCAAAAAGACACCCTCTGGCTCTGCTCCCCTGCTCAGCTCCAGCACAAGGGATGCTAACCCTAACCCCAACCCTGCAGGAGAGGCTCTGCAGAAGGACAATAAAGCCTCTTCTTAAAGAGGAGTAATAAAAGAGGTATGTGCTCTTGTATGAGCACCCAGAGGCTCAGAACATGCAGCCAAAGACCAGCAGAGGGGAAAAAAAAATAAAATCAGTGCAAGCACACAGACATGCACAGCCCTTAGCAAATCCACCAGGGCAGCCCCGGACATCTCAGCACCATCTTCACACCTAACTCAGCCCAATCACAGCAGTTTGGCACCCCTGCGAGGCAGCAGGACCTGCAGAAAGCAGCCGCCCTCTTGCTGCCCCATGGCCTGACCCCAACCCCTGCCCCAGCAACTGCAAAGCTATCAGCAGGCACCAACCAGCCTGCAATGCCACACCAATGAAGAGTCCCATGCAAAGGCATGGCTGTGTGGGGTCACCACTGCTGCACAGGTGCTGTGGTTCTGCCTTCTGCACCCCATAGAAGGACAAAAACTGAAGCACCAGCACCCCATAGCTGAGAGGCTGAAGGAAGGGCAGGTAATTCATATCACAGTGCCTAACTTTTAATTACCCCCTGAAGGAGCCCACAGGTGCTCAGTCCCAGCAGTAATACCAGCCCCACGGACTCACTCTGGCGGTCAGGAATAAAGGAGGACCTTGGCCAGGACTAGGGCTTCCCCAGAAGCCAACACTCTAATGAGTTCCTAATGACTCCAGCAGCACTCAGGGCTGCCCATCACTCTGTAATGAGTTTCCAGAGCCTCCAGGTGCTGGAGATGAAGGAGTGCTGTCTCCTCTGCTGGAGGATAAGGCGCTGGGTGCCTGCATCCTGCAGAGCAAGTGAACACAGTGCTGGTGGGAGCACACAGCTGGGGAGCCCAGACCAGCAGCACGGTGTCACCTCCTGAGCAGTGTTCCCAGACCAGAAGCCAGCAGTAGGAAGGACACCCAGGAACAGAGCCGAGGAGCGAGCATGCAGGCGGCAGAGAGGAGGCAGCCGTGGATCCGATGCAGTGCTGCAGACAAACCTGCCCGGAATAATAAGCGGCTGCATTACACCTCCGTCCTGGCTGGAAGAGCGGCTGCATGCCAGCACAGCCTCAGCACACAGCGAGGCACCAGGCAGAAAGCAGCCACTGGCACAAGGGCAGGAACCCATCTGCTGTCAGATGTGGGGAAAGGAAAGAGGGCAGCAGGGAGAGGAACATGGCTGCAGGATGCAGACTGTGTCCATGGGCACCGGAGCAGCCCCACAATCACACAGCTTCTCCGTGGCACAAGCAGTGCAAGCGCCCAGGGCTCACTGCTTCTTCCCTAAGGATGCAAAGCCACGCAGGAACAAAAACTGGCTGCATGACACCGGCTGGACATTTCCCACACAACTCCTTCATGCCAAGGCACCAGAGCTGTGCCTGCAATGCCAGCAGCACTGCAGCCCCGGCACAACACAACCTGCAGCTGCTGCTCAGGCAGCAGGGATGCAGACCTGCATGGAGATCCCCATTCCCATGCTGCCGGATGCCACTACATGCTCCTGGGACAGCAACAGCAGTGCTTCCTGTGCCCTCTGCTGTGCTTTAAAGCAAACCCTCCTCACCTCCGCTTGGAGAAAGCAGACAGACAGCGAACACAAAGCCAGCCCAGTACTGCACCCAGCAGCCAACCCAGCCCAGCGCAGCTGTTCCTTTACCCATGACAGATGGGGAAATCAGCACTCCAGCTCAGCATCTTCCTGCATTTAGCACAAGAAAGCCCTGAGCATTTCCCAGCCACAGCAAGGAGAACAAGCCTCAGTCGGGGCACGCAGGATACAGCCCCCTAAGCAGACACAGGCCCCATTCATGGAGCTCCTCACCCCCAACCCTCCCCACCCCTGACCCCTGCAGCTGCCCTGTCCCAGCCCTGCTGAGGGCCATCCCTTCCCCAGCTTCAGCAACTAAAGGGGCTAAAAAAACTGCTCCTGGAGGTTGCCATGGAAAAGTCAATGTAAAGCTGCGGCAGGGATGCTGTTTACATTGCCAAATTGGGAGAAAAAAGGAAAAAAAAAATGAAAAAGCATCCAATGAGAGAGCACAATGGGTTCCCCCAGCGCAGACCCCCATGGAGCCACATCCACTGTGATGAGAGGGGAGGAGGGATCAGCGCCCTGGGCTGCAGCCCCTCAGCAAGGATGGAGTGCTGCAAGCGGATGATCCGCACCCCACACAGTCCCCAATCCCCCCCCGACCCCAGAGCAAGGGAGCCCCAGGCCCCTCCCTGCACACTCACCAAACTGCAATGTGCAGATGGCAGCAGCTCCACTCCTGGTTCCCAGCAACACCCATGGGCTGCCTGCCCCTCACTGTGCTTAACCCCTCCCATGCTGGGACGCCCAGCCAGCCCCAGGGCATGTTAACTCATGCAATTGAAAAAAAAATAAGCACAGAAGCAGTTTGCAGCTCACAGCTGTGAACCACACACTCTATAGGGGCAGTGCGTGGCTCCCAAAGGGACAGTGCCCACGGGACGTCACCTCCTCACCTCTGCCCCCAGCTGCAGCATCATCTGCTGCCTTTGCTTCCTTTGGTGCTGCTTTGGGGCTGCCAGAGCCCCAAGGAGGTGACAGCACCATGCAGTATTTCTGCATGGGGAAACCCTGAGTGCCACCTGACTCGCTGGGAGCTGAGGCGTGTGGCATGGGGACAGCTCCAGCACTGAGCAAAGCACAAGAGTCAAAGTCCAGTGCAGACTGTAACAAGTTGGAAGTGCCCTTCTTTCCTTCACAGTTGGGAAGAATCTTCCAGCCTTCATCTTGCAAGAGAGGGGCACTGAGCACAGCACGAGGGGCTCAGCTGCAGGAAGCAGCCAGCCCAGCAGTACAGCTGAGCAGCAGCCTCCGCACACAGAGACTGCCACTGCACCACAGCAACTCCAGCAGCACAGGGCTGCCACCACTTGGAACACAAGCTGCAGGGTCAGGAGGGGCTCTGAGCCACTCCAACCCGGGCTGCCCCACGCTCAGGGCTGCCAGCAGCACGTGCAGCACCCAGCACACAGACATCGCCTGCAAGCACAGGGCAGGGCTCACAGCCCTCAGAGCTGTCACCCTGCTGCATCCCCATGGCACCGTGCGGCTGGAGCTACACAGTGCCCCACTGCCCTCCCACATCTGAAGCAGCCCAGGATGAGCCACCTCCAAAGACTGCATCCCTGCCAATACACCCACAAAACCCACACTTGTGGAGATGGAAGACGGGCAGCAGCCACCCCACGGAGACACACGCTGTATGGCCATGGCACCAGCAGGCACAGCAGCAGCACCCCATGCCCACAACACCACACCACTGCACATCTTCCTTTTCCTCTCCCCACCACAGGGCTGAGGGAAGCAGGGGTGGACTGCACTGAGATGAAAGGAGGACCAGCGCAGATGAAGGGCAGCTCACCTTGCTCATCACTCCACAGGGAGCCAGCAGCTGCCAGCAGCCCACTAATTAACGTTGCTCACTTCATGCCTGTACTGCCTCTTGTTAACTAAGGTAGGAAAACTTTTTTCCACATGCCCAAGGCACCAATCAGCCCTTGCAAAAGAGCAGCAGGCGCACCGCAGCAGCGCGCACCACACTCGGACACCACCACAGCTCCCCAAAATCCTCTGTGCCCAGAGTGGGGCTCCTGCATGGCACATCCATGTGGGACCAGGAGCCCTGTGCTGGGGGCTCAGGAATGTGCCCACGCAATGGGGCTTCCCCGCAGCTGCAGGACACAGAGCAGAGGAATTTCAGGGGGGTGGAAAAAAGAAAACGGAGGGAGTCTCCAGGCAAGCTGTCAAGGGGAATGTTTCCATCTAAGGCCTTGGTATTTCTCTCCCGGCGCCTGCACTAAGTCACCCGAGCTCCTCTCATTATTCTTTTGTGCTTTACAAGGTAGCACAGGCAGCAGGGTTGGTGGAGGAATGCAGGAATGCACACGAAGCAGCCCCTCCTGCACCAGCAGCCCCACCACAGGGCAGCATCTCCCACAGCTCTGGGACCGCCGGGCTCCACAGCCTCACGGGCACAGGGATGGGGCAGGACAGCCTTTGCCCTCTGCTCCTCCATCCCACTCAGCACCAGGGAACAGGTTCCTCCTGCCCCAGCACCGCACGTGGTGATATGGCACCAGCCGGCTGCCTGTTGGGCAACCCTTCACTCCTGTGGCTTTTTGCCCATCCAGATCCATCTGTTAGGCAGTTCCCTCGTGGTGAGAGGCAGACAGCTCTGACTCTGCTGAGGTTTGGG